GTTTTCAAGGTTTTTTTTTTTTTTTACCAAACTTTGTATAAAGATAATTCTCAGCTATGTTATAATGATTTGATATACCATTTTTCTATATGCAAAATGTGTGTAAAATGTCCATAAACGGGTTTTCTCATTATATATAATGTATCTATAAACTAAATCTATTTTGTGATGTACAAAATGTACATCATACTATGTAATGAAAAAAGAAGTGTAATAATGGGAGTAATAATTGACAAGATTTTCATAATAATATGTAATATGTCATAGGAATGTTGAAATATAATTTCTTTCCCTGTTCATTTGTTGTGTCTCCCAAAATGCGTAATAAACATGCTTTTAGTCCCGGTGTCCTCATATGAGGACATGTATGAAATCACCAAACATTTGGTATCTCTGAAAAGCCCTGAATGTGCTCTGTACAGGACATCCAGACTTACAACTGTGGCATGTATAGTCTCAGAGAAATTCACTAAAATATAATGTCCTCATATGAGGATGCAGGGTCTCAGGAGGTTAATTTAGTCTTAGTCCTGTGCTTTTTAGTTTTTGTCATTTAGGCAACCTTCTCCTGTTTTTGTTTAGTCAAGTTTTAATGTCTGAGCATTTTAGTTTAGTTGTAGTCAGTGAAAACATCTCAAATTGTCGTCATGCTGTATAATGGTTAAACTGGTAAAAATGATTATTTTGCTCAAGATTATAATCGCAATCATTGTTGTCATTTGAGAAATAGATTTTTACATTTCATTAGAAGCATTGCACTTTCACCAGTAAGCACAAATCAATAGAATGTCAACTCATACACTTGCTTTATTTGACCTCATCTAGTGTACTGATTTATTATAAGCTATTTATTATATGAGTTAATATCAAAGACTTAGATAGGCATCTCTGTCTACATTGGTAAAAAAAAAAAAAAAAAACACAAAAATATTATAACAGTGAAGTTCCTAATAGTAATTGCAATAATTCCAAGTTGCAATAATGTTTCTCTATTAAAACAACAACAAAAAAAAGATTCTTATTGCCACACAGAGGGTGCATAAGTGCATTTATTCAGCAACCACAATCGCAAACAATATACTCGAGATCCATGTTTGTCGTTGTTTTCAGATCATCATAGACGCTTTTGCAATGTAGCGTGCACATGCACATGGTTGCCAGATTGTATAAGTTAAGTAAAAAACCTGGCAGAAAACATATCCTTTTAACAGAGAAGCTCCGATTGGGGGATTTGAACTCTTGATATCTGGCAACCACAAACATGAACGCTTGCGAATTAAAAAAGAGATGGTAACACTTTATTTTAATGCATTTAACATATAATAACAGCAAGTAATCCTAAACCAAACCCTCATCCTAACCCTAACCATAGAGTAAGTACTAAGACTGGGTTTTGACACAAATTTCACAATTCGATTCAATTCTCATTCACAAGCTTGTGATTCAATTACCGATTAGATTCCATATTGATTATTTTGGATACATATCAGGTACAGTACATGCCAAAAATAAATAAATCTCTCAACTAATGCTGTAAAATATACATGAGTCAGCTGGCACTACATTACTATAATGTTGAAGTTTAAAATTGACTGATTTGTAACTGCTAAAATTACACTTAATAAGTTTTTATAATAATAAACTTACAATTACATAATGTTTCTACTTCAATTCGTTTTTTTAATATAAACATTTAAATAGTGGCTGTCATAAAAACTTGATGCATTTATTTAAACATAAATTAAACATTGAAGAACAGTAAAAATTATAATGAATATACATCATATGACCCCTTTAAAATTATAATTATTATAAATTATATGGTGCATATATTTAGCAAAATGCCCCTCTCTACAGTTTATTTTTATATCTGACTAATGAGTTTATGGTCACCGAATATGTTTTTTCTGAGGTAAATGTGACGTTACGTGACATTGTTTACAAGC